TTCCTTGTACCGTTTGACGAGCTCCATGTTGTTCCGGTTGAGAACCTCCAGATCCGCATTAACAGTGACCAGTTCCGCCTTCAGCTGTTTGTTCTCTTCAACAGCTTTGAGGGCGAGGTTCCCAGCAGTGTCAGCCTTGGTGTGAAGGCCTGTCATAGACACGTCCAACTCCTTGAAGGTGGCGTGGGTGGCGTCGACCTCGTTGAGGAAATCGTTCCGATGTTCGTATATCTTGCTGCCGAGGACGTTGTAGACATTGACCACTTCGCGCCGTGTGATGTCCCTTGTTACGGAGATGGTCCAGTCGACGTAAGCTTGGTTGGTGATCCCTAAACTGTTTGCCGAGGCACGAATAGCGTCTTCTAACGAGCCGTACTCAACACCAGCGTAGATCCATTGAATTTCCGGGTACGCTTGGAGCGTGGCAGTGGGTGAAGCCGGGTGGGTGTGTGCCAGTGATGGAGCTGGGTGGGTGTGTGGCCCCGGATATTCCGACTCAAAGTCATCTTCTGCCAGAGGGGCATAACGCGAGCCTGAAGCCATTGTGATGGTATCCGATGTACAAAACTAAACGACGATCCAATCTAAGGACCCGAATTGTTCTAACTCTACTAAAGCCTTGACAATGCACTCAAAGTTCTGTCCAAGTCCACTGAACTTGACCTTTCCAAACTCCTTGCAAAACCAGTCGATGTTTTGCTGCTGACTGCGTGTCCACGAAGAGCCGTTTTTGATGTTGTCGAGTATCCACTCAAGCTTGTCACCGATGCGTTGAAGGGCGAGCCGATGATTGTGGGGAATGTCGAGCAATTGATCCTTGCGATCGAAGATGGCCTGCAGTCTTTTGATGACAGCGCTGACCTTGGAACTGACGATAGCGAGGAGGTCGATGGGATCACAACGTGCGAAGGAGGGCAGAGGTGGTGCAGAGATGCGGTACTGGAGAGGGATTGTAGGGGTGGATGGGACAAAGGGTGGTGGCAGTGTGGTGAGGCGCGTAGCGGGTGGTCTGTCAAGGGGCTGAGTAGAGGGTACAGAAGGTGGAAGTGCCTTGTGACGAGGGACAATTGGGGTATGCTGATACTGACGGCGATGACGAGGTCGATCTGATGTATCGTCGGCAAGGGCACAGTCAATTTGGGACTGGACGTTGAGGTGACCATGTCTCTTGAAGTGACGACGGGTAAACTCCGGTAGGTCCGAGTCGGATGGAAGGATAGTGGGGGGGAATGATGAACGTTTCAAAAAACTCCTGGGAGAAGAGATCCGGTCCGCAAGTGGTTGAGACACTCCACGGAGGGGATGGGTAAGAGACTTGATCTAATGTCACAGCCAACGAGCTGTGCCACCAAAACAAACAAGGGCAAAGCTTACTGGTGATGGGGTTGGTGCTGAGGGGCGAAGCAACTCCATGTGACACAGCAAGAGATGGTGTAAAGAAGTAGATTCCCTAGACTAGAAGGGGCAGTGAGAGGTAGGGCTGCTAGCTACCTACAGAGGAGATGGGTGATCGACGAGAAGATCAAGTCTGAGGTTCTCTGCCTCAGACCCCCTACTATTTATACAAATACAATGGTGCACAGACCAGGTACCTATTTGTCCCTGCTTGGTTAGAGTCCGCTGACTCATGTCCTGCCTCCTGACCTGTCACATGGTGTCCTCATGACTAACACCTGAGTCATGCTAAGTCCGGGCTTCCTCCGATGAGTAAGCATCCCTGCTGACACGTGAGTCACCTGCCGGTGAGTGAGGATGGGCGCTCCCGGACCCTATAAGGTCCTGGGTTCGATCCTGGCCCCTCCACTTTCCGATACAAGTTGTCCGTGGTCAAGGTGAGCGTCTGTCCTGGTTCACATGACCCCCAGGTCACGTGGCACGAGAAAACTGTGACAGAAACGTAGTGCCATGAGGGCGGTTCGTGACACGAATGGATAAGCTTGAAAGGACGTGTTGGT